TGAACCCCATTTGGACCATTAATTAAACGGCGCTGTTAAGTTTAATACCTGGGTCTAGATTAAATGGTTGAACCATTTGCGACAGATAATCATTTATAGTACCAAATAAGCAAGAGGTACTTGGAGATTGACTTATTGTTAGAAACTCGTGAAGTGTACTTCTTACCAGAGTTTGAAATTACCAAGGCATGAATTTTTTATGATAATTGTCTGATAATTATTCATGCTGATTCATAGTTTTGTCTCTTTTTTTCTAACCAAAAATGACAGACAGTAAGAAAACTAAATAACATCATCATAAACCTTTGGGAAATCTGTTTGGTTTGTGGTTTTTTACATTGACATTTGAATACATCTTTGATACAAACACATGCACGACATTGCTAGCGGTAGAATTTTGTTGTTTCTATTAATTTTATGAATATCAAGATTAATTATCAAGGTTTAATTATCATGATAATTATTATAATAATCATCAATGATAATTATCATAATAATCGACAATGATAATTATCATTTCGAACACTTCACTTCTCACCACTCGCCATCGCCAACTATAAGTTGCAGACGTATTGTAAATGTAATGTTGATTTTTACTATAAAACTTGTGAATCATGATCAAAATGTAAACTCGACTGCGTAAGAAACGAATAGTGGTGTTTTTTATTTAATTTTTATTGTGATAATTGGTGATTTTAGGTGTACAATACTGCTCTCTTGTTTATCTAGATTTTTGTATATAAGATTCCAGTCTTTATCTGTTGTATGGAGCCTGTTTAGCTCGGTACAAAGGTAATTCCATACTATTTGCAGTTTTTTCTTCAATTATTGGCAAAGAAAGCGTTTTTTTCTTCCGATGAGGCTGGGAATGTTCGGGCTAACCAAAAAAGGTTTATTATAGTGTGATTTTTTAAATTGTGTCAGTATGGGGATATTTGAAACCATAAGTGACACAGGAAACTGTCTTACGAACCATTAAGTCTTTTTTGTGAAACAAATTTAACATGTTCTATTTTCTGGTCAAGCGCAAGTTGTCCATAAAAATGAATAAATATTTACTTTTTTATGCTAATTCGTGAAACGAGCCCGTGACCGTTTATTGAAGCATTAAATAGCTATATTAAGGTAACAAATTGTATTAAAAAACATTTTATTAAATGTGACTAGATTTTACCGTCCCAATATTTTTCTTCCTATACTATGAAATTATTCGATCGATCGAGTCGATCGGCATTAAAAAAAATTGTCAATATTTTATCATTTTTATGGACAACTTTTTTTGACCAAAAAATTTAACTATGTCTTTGTTATAATTATTAATACAAAGATCGAATTTTCTTACACACTTAGAAAAAAATCGAACCGACGTCTTCTAGCAAACCATCGCAGACGCCATGCCAACTAAGCCACGGAACGAACCAGCGCACGTCTCGAATTCTTCTGTGTGCTTGTCGTATCTTTGTACATATTTGGTTTTTCAACGACTATTTATCCGTAGCGCCATCTATGAGAAATATATGAAAGCATTTCTTCTATATGTTTTTGTTTTTACAAAAAATACTAATATTTCCTAAGACAGTTACTGTTCCAGTTAAGAAAATACACTATAGATTATTTTTACAATGATTTTTTTTATTATATCTACCAGCGACTGAATATTACGATCATGAAATAAATAGCCGAGCTTGTTTCATTTGATTCATCATTATATGTCCGACTGCTGGGCATATGTTCATTTGAATTTTCATGGCAGAAAACACTAACGATTGTATACGTTTGTACAAAATCGTTTTATATACAAGCGAGACCGCGATCCTCTTCAAAGTATCCTTTTCGAGAAACAATTCCATGACGTCAATATTACAACACCCATGAACGTCACTGACGTAGCGTCAGATAGTCAGATAATTGACGCATGTTGGCTAGAGTTACCAGCAAAATTTGAGGCGAAACTAGTTACACCCAAGCAGCATTACTTATAGTAACTGATCAGAAATCATGTTTGCCCGAAATAAAGTTTGCTCGAATGTTCATAATCCCGAAAACTCATTTATGTCGAAACCGTCATTCTGTCATATTTCAAGTGTCAACAACAAAGTGGGGACAACAATATTCACAAATCCTGATGGATCCATTTAGTGAAACCAAGCAGTGGGACCAACAGTCCTAACGGGTATTTTGCATGCTTGTCGTAACGAATAGATTGGGTTAGTTTTGTTTTACAATATTACAAAAAAAGTTTTCCACGGAAAATTAAAATTCGAACAAACGTCGTTTCGGGCCAATGTGATTACGGACTTATGATAGGCAACCATCCGTTATTGACACTAGACTAGGTTTCCAATGTTTTTGCCTAACCGCTCACTTAGGCAAGATAAAAATTGTCCACCATAAAAAAATAATTGAAAGCACGTGTTTTTTATATTAACTTAACACAATTCACGATGAAAAAAAACTACATATTTGTAGTGTAGTTTAGTTAGATATTTCAGGTTCTTTGAAATGCGGTACCACCGTCTAGTAGCATCAACGCCTCCCAATTGCTTCCAAAGCCCCCAACCCTAGGGGCTCGTTCAGAGTGCGGCTCTTGGCATCTTACATTTCACAGTGGCGAAACGGCTACGAATCACTGTGAAACGTACGGGCGGACCCAACCAATTGATGTACCCGCTGGGCGCGCGCGACCACTGTAAACGCAAGGAGCGCCTACATACATTCAATTTACGCGCACCCGCTCCCTCAGCCTCTCTAAAGGACTATTCAAGCATCCACTGGGGGGTGGTAGGGCCTACTTTGGGAAACTATGCACTAGACAACCAAACAGAAATAATGCCAGGTGTCATCATTAACTGATCTCTAAACCATAGCTTTGCACTTGCTACGACCTTGACATATCTTTCGTACACGCTCGTAAGTGGGGGTATTCCTGACCTGAGTGTAAATTTGTTATCATTCCGACTTAACTACCGCGTTTGGGGTGACATTTTTATCTTAATTATATATCTATAAGGATTAAATTAAAACTTTAACGCAAACACGATAGTTAGGTTTACATAATTGAAAACTTTCACTAAGACTCCTGGTCTTTTTTGGCGTCCTCAATTTGGTCGTAGTAAGTTCGCCGTGATCGGTGGTTAACAACGATGCGTTACTCGAAAAGGCTACCTTTGAATTTGACATCGTGTGTCATACAAAAGCTGTGATTATTAGGTTAATACGGTTCTTTTTATTTACCTATATAAAATATTCTAACACCATTAACTCATTGACAAGTTAACGCGGAATGTTGCTTGATAAATGCACTAAAATTGTTACCAAGAGATTTTTAAATGCACAGATTTTGGAATATTTTTTTTG